TCAATTAATTCTCTTTGAATTAAAACGACGCAGATGCCAGTACAGATCGTCAGCATTTTATAACGTCACGGCAGTAGCTGCGGGAAGATCAAGGTCGTGTCACAACCTGCAATTTTTTTTTACACTCTTTCTCGCTAACCAACAGTGTTCTCATGGTAAGCGTATTTTTACTTTCGGATTGTGACGGGGTTACTTACCGATACGAGGTGATTCGGTTTTCTCTTCAGTGGCTGTTCGACAAAGCAGCTAATGAACTAAGTCATGTTTCCCATAGAGAACCACAAGATTCTGGCTTTTGTAATGTCACGGAGCAACAGATTTTACGGAATGCCTCCCTAAAATAAATAAAAAATAATACATTGATTATTTGCTTGCTGAGGCAGTGTTAAATGTACGTTTGCTTTAAATTGATGCTTTCTGGTATCAGGCAATAGCTGGCTCGACTTTAGCGTGCGAACAACTGTATTGTCAAGGATGTGGGGTTCGTCCGTTATGTAGCCGGCATTAGTCATCTGGAAATATGGAAGCGTGCGATCCTTGATGTTTGCCTGTTTCCGGGAAAATCACATTCTCTGGCGCGATCTTTTTAAAAAAAATTGTGGCTGTCAATTCGTGAAGCAATTACTCTCTTAGTGAAGCCATTTGATTGCTATTTGCCATATTAAAAGTGATACTACCTTATGTAGGATAACGTTAGATCACGTAACTGTAAAAATTGCTAAGAGACAGTGCGGGAAGGCAACATTTTGTTACGTACTGTTCTCCAACCCAGAACTGGATGCTTACCCATGAATATACCCGCAGCGCACAATTGTGCTTTTACTCACTCGACTAAGATTCACTTATTCGGGCGTTTGTTTTTGCTGGAAACTGCAGGACAGTCTAAAATTGATACAACCCTCACAGGCGTGATAATGTGTTCACGTTAACTTCTGTGTTTGGAAGTTAGACAAAGCTTCACACAGTTCTCTGAATAGATCGCGTGGCAGAGTACCACCCACACTGGAGCTGCAATCGATTGATTGATTGATATGTGGGGTTTTACATCCCAAAACCACCATATGATTATGAGAGACGTCGTAGTGGGGGGCACCGGAGATTTCAACCACCTGGGGTTCTTTAACGTGCACCCAAATCTGAGCACACGGCCTACAACATTTCCGCCTCCATCGGAAATGCAGCCGCCGCAGCCGGGATTTGAACCCGCGACCTGCGGGTCAGCAGCCGAGTACCTTAGCCACTAGACAACCGCGGCGGGGCTGGAGCTGCAATCGAGATTTCCCTATTTCGATATCCTTTTACAGCTCTACAAGGATTGCATGTCATTATTTCTGGCGACATATGGTTAGAGTACAGCAGCAAGGAAAAGCTCAGATCTAGGTATATTTTAGCCAAGCAAAAATTTTTCCTTCGTTCACTTTGCAGCGACGGTGGGAATATATGCCCCAGTCATCAAAACTCGGTCCAGTGCGTTGCCGTGCGTGGATTACTGTCGGTTCGCTGATTATTGCCGTGGTACTTGAACTCGCCGTTCGCAAGTACAGCACAAAGGGGAAAGGAAGAGATTATTTGAGACGTGGGTTTATGATTTATATGAGTGCATTTCATGTGAGTTGTTCATTACTGGCTCTGGTCTCCCGCATGATCAGCGAAATAAAAATAAATGAAGACATTGGCATCATTCTCCTACCCTTACAAAAGCTAGGGCTGAACAAAGCTCACTCGATACTTGTCAAATATATAAGTATATTGAAAAAACTTAGGCACTTCCTCTGCCTCGTGATTTACCTTTGATAGTCATTTACCTGGGATATTTGCCAATAAAAGATTTCACAGTCTAGCAAACGAAACTCCAGCCTGATTTGGTTTCTATGTAGAATTTGGTTGGGAAAGTCAAGCATCGAATGATGCACATTCTCCTCGCCATGACCACATGATCATATTGTACATACGCAAGCTGAATTGAAAGTTGAAAGTTGAAAGTTGAAATTTATTTCACCACAACGATACACCGTGATTTACACAAACAAGAAACAATTGTGGCATGGAAAGTAGGAAAAAAGCTGCGCTATAGCAGCTTGACTAGCCCCACCTCCCATTTGTACAAGGCAACAGAAACAATGGCACACCAAGCTCCATACGGTGCTCACGTATGATTGAAAGAAAAAAGAAAAGAAAATAACATTCTAGTGGTTGTTTATGAAGTACAGAATAGATGCACACTTGGGTGTTTACAAACAAACAATTTTTGGGAAAAAAAGGCAACCAATATAAGACGCTATAACAGAAAGGGGTACACTTAAAATTTCATGCATTTACAAGTACTGGGTGTAATTTTTCTGGGTTTATAGTTCCTTATACAAACAGGTTTAATATATCACTACTTGAAAGGAGACGCAATTGCTGTTCTGTGAGCTTGAACTTATTTAGTATATGGGGAACAGAGTGCTTTAGCATTTGGAGTCCGTAATTTGTTCGCGGTCGGGGGATGTGCCAGTGTTCAGAACTCCGCATCGGACGCAACAAAATTTTTGGCTGTAAATGTGCTAAGCCTCTCAGGTTTGCGCAATTCTTTCGAATTTCAGACCTCAAAGACAACAACAAGTTATGTTCATATGCCACACAAAATTTTAAAACTTTAAACTTGACAAATAAATGGGATGTGTGTTCTCTGTAACCTATATTTGCAACAGCCCGCAAAGCGCTTTTTTGAAGTGTATACAACTTTTGTTTTGATGTTTCAGTTCCAGAAGCCCATACCAACTGACAATAGCGTAAATGAGAACAAAAAAGCGTATTAAAGATAAGAAGTTTCTGGGGGAGCGGTAGAAACGACTGACACCTTCTCAGCACGCCAAGGGCTTTTCTTAGCTTAATACACAATTGTTCAGTGTGAGAATTCCAGAACATATGTTGATGAAAGATGACGCCCAAAGTTTTGACAGTCTCTGAAAGTTCGATATTGAAATTATTTAGCATCAGTTTTTGTGTGTACGTACATGTTATTCCTTCGGAATAACATGTACGTTTACATGTACATGTACATGTACATGTTATTCCTTCGGAATAACATGTACATGTACATGTTATTCCTTCGGAATAACATGTACATGTTATTCCTTCGGAATAACATGTACGTGTAATTCGGAATAAAAAGTGCTTTGTTTAAGTATTTCCAGTTGTTGGCGAAGTATGTTGGTGTCTATGTGTCGTTGGAGCTGAGGCACTCAATATTTGGGTCACCCGCCTATGGGTTCTATTCATTTTTTTTTTGTTGTTGAACCAGTTTGTGAGCAACGTTCACGTTGGTGTACTGGCAAAATGAGCTGTTGTCGTGTTGTAAATTGGGAATACAATAAGTTGCAGAATAATTATGAACATATTTTGCTAACGTACCTTAATTTTCACTCCCTAAGGTGTCACACTGACTCGCAACGCAAGAAACGCCGCGTGATGTTTTGGCCAAGGGACTTGTGAAAGCTCTTTTAGGATAGCGTGTATCACTTACTCGCATGAAGGGAAGGCTATACGGAGCCCAGCTAGATATGTACTACCGCTGATGAATGTAGTGCCACGAGTGCGTCAGTATTTTCTCCGTGAAATTCATGAAAAACAACATTATTTTTACGGGGAGTTGTTTATAAGGAAATGCTGCACACGCAAATGACATATTCATAATTCTTTTACTTCATGCAGTGTCATTTTGTGCGTTTGTACTTGTGAAAACGTCGCTCGTTTTATGTATACGCTTCACTGTCAAAATGGTGTCTTCACTTTTTGGTGAGCGCTCGCGGCCATCCAGCTACTTCGACGACTCGCTGAAGAACCTCGATGAATTTCTCTAACAAATGACTGTCTAAGCAGATGTAGTAAATATAATGCAGATTTATCATTAGAACACGGCCGTCATTCGAAGCATCAATCGAACCGAACTACTTGACGGAGGAGAACATGTTCAGCAGCTCCACAACCGTAGCTTTTCTTTCATTGCCAAGAAAAGTTGACCGCGAATATAGTGTATCTATATTTTTTGGATTCCTTTTTTTTTCATACAAGTGATGGTCATCGGGAACTGGGTGATGATGACTCTCTTCCTCGGCGCCCTCAACAATTTAATATATATGATTTCTGGCAAACTGGATATAAGATCTAAACTCCCTGAAGACAAAAGATGACGAAATCAACAGGCATTTTTCCCGTGCAACTGACTGATCAAAAATGATAATGTCGAAGTGTTTTGGTGACGGAGCTGAAAGGCAGGAGGGAGCATTCATCTCTCTTTTCAACTTCATGCTTTTTTGAAAGGTGTGTTGCTTGTTAAGTACGAATCAACTAGTACGCAACAAAATACTTCCCAATTAAATGGAGTGCTAACCACAAATGTAGTACTATTTGCAAACTAATAATTGTTTTGTAAAGATGTCCCAGCTTTGTTAAATTTCGAGAGAAAAGTTGTAAAATTTTTTATCCAAGAAGGGTTGACCTGAGGAAGCGCAGTTAGAGTTTAAAAAATAGGGTGCCAAAGAAAGGGAAGCATACTCGACGAGGCAAGAAATTGGACAATGAAACAACGGACTTGGCATTTTTGACTGGCAATCAACTAGCGTAATTGTACGTCACAGGAACAAGGCTTCGTTCTGCATCGGGCATGAGGCAACAACCTCTAGACTAGTTAGAGGGCTCTAGAGGGCGTTACATGAGTACAGGGCTGATGATTAGACTCAAAATCTGTTTTATATTTCTCTATTCGCCTTGGCTAATATTAGGTTGCAGCCAACCAAATAAGGGTACACCTTGCATGATATGAGAGCATATGTTCGCTGAAAGCGTATACATGAGCCAGTCCGGTGAACCAATCCAGATCAAACGTGAAGGCGCCAACCTAAACCGTCATCTCGAAGACAGTAGTCTCAGTGGCTACCTGTTGAAGAGAAATCAAAGAGAATAACTTCAAGTCACGCCTAAAGAATAAAGCATGCTTTATTTTACTAGACGCCTACTAGCAGGCTCTGCACAATGGTAGAGCTCGAGCGTGTGACAGTTCCAAGCATCTCTTTGGAGTATACCTTGTAATGTTGCAAGCGATGCGATAAAGGACATAATAAGCTGTACAATATACTAACAAAATGCTGGTCACTGATTCACTTTCAGAAGACTAGAGTAAGCAACGGTAGAGGTCGCGACGTGGTCCATTCACGAGAACGCCTTTTATGGTCAGCGTTCGGCAGCCAAGTTCTGGTGTTGCGTTTCGTTGTGCCTGCGTAGGTCCACTTTCCTCTGAAAGGCCCGGCCGCAGACGTGGCAGCCAAACGGCTTGAAGCCCGTGTGTTTGCGGCTGTGGGTGATCAGGTTCGACGATTGGCTGAACGCCTTGCCGCAGACCTTGCACTTGTGAGGCTTTTCACCTGCGAGAAACGGACGAGCAATGCGGTAAGCAAAGTTAAAGCCAGGAAAAACGTATCAGGGATGCTATAAGACGTGTGACAAAGGCCTGCGACAATCATTCGGCAATGGTACGTTTGTGTGCAGGTGTTCTATACGTATAGCGCGAATGCTGAACGTTGCGTTTCACTAGTTGAAGAAGATATGAGATTAAGTAGCGATTAAGAATTGTGAATGACACTGCGTAGATCGTTCGTGTTCTGTTTGCCACTCCACGTTCTCACCTATAGCGACAATGCCACCAGATACTGCGAAGACCATGCTGCAGGCCGTGCTGGCTCTAGAATCAGTGCTGCTTGGTTGTTTCGGTTAAAACCAGCAGTGGAATGCCGAAGGCCAAGCCTCAGTGCACGTTAAATAGCCGACAAGTGCCTTTCATGATGCAGTGGAGTTGTGCCGGTATTATTTATCGCATGAATGAACTACACCTGCTTTTGAGAGAATATCAAATTCCGTCCTTGGCTCTGTCGGAGGCCGAATTACCGAGACAAAGATCAATCACTGGATACGTCACTCACAAGAACGCCACCATAACTACTTTTCCCAATGGAAGCGCCGCTGTGTATATACGAAGAGAGATACCACACGTAGCACTCAATATGGCGGACTTGTGCACAGATGTTATAGAAGTTTGTGCGATCAGAGCACAGATAGGAAACCGCAAAGTCAGCATTGCATCAGTGTATGCGTCACCTCACAAGAAAATTTCCATTAAAATGTTTTTGGAAGATCTGTGTCATCGTTGCCCAGCTCCGCGCATCATTTGTGGTGATTAGAATGCGCATCACACGTCATGCGGGGACAAGAGTTCGGATGCACGTGGACGTTGTCTGGAAAATGCTATTGATAAGCTAGACTCATGCATTGAGAATGATGGCAAAGTAAGATTCTTTAGGCCCCCAGCTTCTACAAGAATTATTGACATGACTTTGCATTCAAATGACGTTCAACTGACATGTTGCACTGCTCCGGACAGAATGGGCAGTGATCATTTCCCTATATTTATTAATGTTGCTGGCTACCATTTGACAGAAGCTAAATCCTGCAAAGTAGCTGATTGGAATCGATACCGAGAGCATCTAGATCACTGATCAGGGGATATGTTTCAGGATATGCTAGCGAGCAAAGCGGCTGCAACTATACTATACTTAAGCTACCTGCACAATGTCCAGCCCCGGACTTAAAGTCCGTAATTTGTGTTCGGCTAGAAGAAGGGCAAAGAAAAGGCTTATGAGAAGAGGTGGTGAACCTGCTAGCAAAACTCTGTTCAACAGACCTAATGCAGCAATACGACGACACAGCAACAAACTTTGGAGGAAACAATGGGCAACGTTTTGTGAGAGTTTAAGTGTATGTACTTCCCTGTAAAGGATATGGCGAGTAGTAAATAGTGTCGGAAGCGCACACGAGCCTTTCAGACTGTCATAATATGTGCTGCGCGGGCGCGAAACAGAAACTAAAAAAACGACAATAGTGTGCCGTGCGGTGGCGAAGAGGATGTGATGTGTGCGTGTATGTGCCGGGCGGTGCCTACGAGGAAGAGGACAGCTCGTGAGGCGCGGGCTCGAGCGTGCGTGACCCGTGCCTTCGGCAGTGCGCGAGGTACGTCGTTCGAGGCAGGACTACCTCGTTGGGCGTCTGGCCCATAGGTACGACCCAGGCCACGTCGCGACACTCGTACCAGCCAAGTGGACAGCTCAGCCTCCGCTAGACGACCGGTCTAGGAGAGCTGGCGCCAGGTTCCTGAACCTGTCCTTGTCCCGCTGGTCGTGGAGAGCTGGCGCCGGGTGCCTGATCCTGCCCTTGCGCCGCTGTTCCAGGAGGGCTGGCGTGGGTTTCCGAGGCGGACTGCAGGTGCTCAAGGGCACAACTCCCTGCCGCCGGAACACGTGGGTCGTCGGCTCCAGTTCGTCGACAGTGGCGCTGAGCCACTGGAGTTCGACGCGGCGACCCTGCGTCTCCCGACTTCGTCACTGCAGGTGACGACGCCGCCCAACGTCGACTTCGCCACTGAATGGTGCCGACGGGGCATCAACGATGGCCCAGGCTACTACCCCGACGACCTGAACTGTAGGCCGAACGTTCTACTTATTCATTTAGTTTAGCCGCGTGTTTTTGTGTTAGGAACTTCGTAAGGTGTGGGTTGTCCATGTGTGAAGGGTACAATAGAAGTTGGACGTGTGTTTGTGCACTGGCGTGCTGTCTGATTCTTTCTGGAGCGGTCCTGCCCCAATAACATCACAAACTGGCGAGCCTGCCAGGATCCGCTCGTTAAACCAGTGAAAGAAGACAGTTTCGCTCTAGGCAGACACACGTTCAGACTGCACCATGGACTTGGAAAAACTCGCCGCTATAGGGCTCCAACTAGGGTTCTCGGGTGCAGAGTTAAACAAGTGGATTGAGGCCCAACAGGCTAAGATAAGGGATGAGAGAGCTGCAGAGCGAGAGGCAGCCAAAGAAGCTGACGAGAGGCAGCGTGAAATTCTGCAGCTTAAGCTAAAGCTTCAGGAAGGAGCTCAGAATATGCCTGTAGCAGCTAATGACGCTTTGACTGCACCCAGCACCTCCTCACCCCTCAATCCGCAGAAGTTACTGCCTGTATTTGACGAGAAACGCGATGATCTGCACGCGTATCTGCAGCGATTCGAGCGCGTAGCCACAGGACAGGATTGGCCGCAAGAAAAATGGGGTCTCGCTGTTAGCCTGTGCCTAACGGGTGACGCGTTAACCGTGATAGGCCGAATGACTGCCGCTGATTCGCTGGACTACCAAAAAGTAAAGAAAGCTCTACTGCAGAGATTTCAGTTTACGGCTCAAGGCTACCAAGATAAGTTTCGGAAAGCACGAGCAGCAGATGGTGAAACTGGACGACAGTTAGCAGCAAGAATTACCAGTTATTTCGACCATTGGATAGACATGGCAAACGTATCCCAAACCTATGAAGGTCTAAGGGATCACGTAATCTCTGAGCAATTCTTGCGTTGTTGCCATCCAAAGCTGGTTGTTTTCTTAAAAGAGCGAGAGTGCAAGTCACTAGATGAACTCGCTAATTTGACGGATCGCTTCCTTGAGGCGCAGAATTTGACTAATATAGGAAAAGGTCCTGACCCCGCGAAAGAATCCAGTGGAAAGCCTACCGAAGCGTCGCGGAAACCGCAACTCAAGTGTATCCTGTGTCATCGTTTCGGACATTTGGCTCCTGACTGCCGCAATCCACCTAAGCAGATGCTGAAATGCAAGTTGTGCGGTAAAACGGGACATGTCACAGAAACTTGCCGAAACCAGCATGGGAACAACAAACCGAGTTCTTCGTGCGCATTTAGCGAACCTGACTCTGCCCGGGCTGGTGCTAGAAAAACAGCCAAGCGTCCAGGAGGGAAGATTTCTTGCTCAAGTCACCACGACGACAAGAACGTGCAGGGTACAATACGTTTCCTGGCCGACGGGATGCCCGTGGTCGAAGGTCTGCTGCTAGGAAGAGAGGTTCGAGTCTTACGCGATACGGGATGCAACACGGCAATCGTCCGACGGGAGCTCGTTCCTGATGTGTGCCTGACAGGCAAGAAAATCAGTGTCGTTCTCCTAGACAGGTCAACTAGCCATCTCCCGGAAGCTATTGTACAAGTCAACACGCCGTACTTCGCAGGGATGCTGAAAGTGGCTTGTATGGATCAACCCCTCTATGACCTTGTGCTGGGAAATCTTCCAGGCGTCAGAGGACCATACGATCCAGATTCTGACTGGAAGCAGGCGACTCATACCCAGGTGGATGAGTTACCTGCGCAAGCACACCCGACCAAGTCACCTGTCACCTCAAGATCTGCTTCTTCAAGCGTGGCAAAAACCAAAGCCAATCAACAAGGTCAAGAAAATATCAGGCCTTTGTACGTGTCAACAACGCTCTTACCTGACGTTACCAGAGCCCAACTCGTCGAGGAACAGTGAAATGACCCGACACTCAAAGCTGTCTTTGCTAAAGTGAATAAAGAGTTCAAATCGGGAAAGGGCCACTGTTACGATTTCATCGAAGATAAAGGATTGCTTTATCGACGCTACCGCCTTGCCACTGGCAGGACGTTTAAACAGCTGGTCACTCCGAAAGCGTTCCGGGTAGGCATACTGGACATTGCTCATGGCAGTATCATGGCGGGACACCAAGGCATCAAAAGAACTACTGATCGTGTCCTAGAAGAATTTTATTGGCCTGACCTGAACGGAGACGTAAAGCGCTTTGTCAAGTCTTGCGACAAGTGCCAGAGAACTACCCCTAAAGGAAAAGTTGGAGTCGCACCACTAGGCAACATGCCTCTTATCCGGACACCTTTTGAAAGGGTCGCGGTTGATTTAATCGGCCCATTTTCACCAAGATCGGACCGTGGGAACCGATATGTTCTGACACTTATCGATTTTGCAACTCGCTACCCTGACGCTGTAGCATTGCCCGCAATCGATGCAGTTCACATTGCGGAAGCACTCATCGAGATTTTTTCCCGCATCGGCTTGCCAAAGGAAATCGTCACCGACCAAGGGGCAAGTTTTACCTCAGAATTAATGAACGAGGTTAGCAGGCTTCTCTCCGTGAAGATGCTAAAGACAACCCCATATCATGCGATGGCGAACGGTCTCGTGGAGAAATTTAATGGCACCCTGAAGACAATGCTAAAGAGAATGTGCCAAGAGAGACCTCGATCTTGGGACAGGTACCTAGCTCCGCTACTCTTTGCATATAGGGAAGTTCCACAGACAAGCCTCGGGTTCTCTCCGTTTCAGCTCATTTACGGCCGCCACGTCCGAGGACCGCTAACCGTGCTGAGAGAACTGTGGACAAATGAGGGGCTAGACGCAGAAATGCGGACGACTTACACCTACGTCTTTGATTTGCGCAATCGCCTAGAGGAGACTTGCAAGATAGCCCATGAACAGCTGGAGAAGGCTCGTGTGAAGCAGAAAACCTATTATGACA